TTTTCAGTAGGTGTTGCTCTAGCTTTTTCTTTCATTTGAGTTGCATGATTGACCAATGAGCGTTGGCCTTTGAAGTGTGGTGGTGACGCTTTCGCTCGTCGCCCTAGCGTCAACGACGACGCGGACGGTGCTGTCAAAGAAGCGTGCTGTTGTTTTCGAATACTTTCGAGGAACATGTGGTTAAAGTCAAAGTTCAAAGTGGTCTTTGATTGACTAATAGCATACTTTGCGGCAAATCCCGTGCTTTCGACATTGTTTGCCTATTCTATAATTTGATAGGTTGTTCCGAGCAATTTGAAAAATTCATAGAAAATATTGATTCTCATTTTTCCAATTTGAACGCACTTTATATCTGCAAAATATCCCATAATATCTGCTTTCTCTTCAACGATTTCTACATTACAATGTTGACCTAAAATGTTCGAGTAAAATAGAGATCTACGCTGAAGTTCACGAAAAATATGCCAAATGACGAACGTACAGTCGTTTGAAAAGAAACTTGTGCTATTCACACGCTGAAATGAACGTAGGAAAAACTTCTTAACTGACATACTTTGCCCCAAAGAAAAGTCCGGCGACTTAAAAAATTTCAATTTCTATTCAAATGAAAAATTAAAAATATGTATCAAAAACGCTCACGCTGAATATGAAAAAATTTGGGTGAGTAGAAAACAAACATTTCTCATCTGATCGTCAAGTATCCTGCAGCGCAATCAAGACAATTAATCTCGCCGTCAACTCTCCGTCGAAAATATCCAATTTGGCGCATTAGCGTCAGCTGTGCTACTAGTAATCTATCTTGAAGCACTGAACATAAAAAAAAATAAAAGAAAGAATGAGATGAATTTTCCTCGTTTCGAGCGAAAAATCGATCCTTCTTGACTAAGGAACCCGGACACCGAGTTATATGACACGCGGGGAGACTTTTTCCTTCATTTCCCAAGATGTCGCCGAATGCGAGAATAATCATCGTCGTTTGCGCTTCGCCGCTACTTAAACAATGCCGCTTTGTATTTGTTTCAGCATGTATCTTTTTTTTTTCTACTGCAACTAGTCGCGTGCGCGAGCTCCTGTGCATACGAGACGTAGCTTCTTTTCATTTCTCTTCACGGCCGCCGCCTTGTTAGTCGTGCGAGCTTTACAGTTCCAGCGAGATATAGCTTTCGTCAACGTTGTACTTCATCCAAACACGTTCATACGTGGAGTACTGCACATTTCTTTTGAAATGTGGAAACTTTTAAAATTTAAGATTGAAGATGATGTTTATTTATTTACTAACAAACGTTTTGGTTGTTACAAAAAGACTCAACTATAAAGCAATTTGTCCCTCAGTAGATAGGCGTGTTGGAATTTTTTTTTTCATCTTAAAACTATTGCAATCACGTGGATAAACAGTGTCATCTCTCGTGCAGCAAACCCTTCAACTTTCGCGGCTTTCGCCGACGCAAGAAGAAAAAAAAAAAGACGAAAATTCCCATGGCAACATCTGTTGACAAACCTATTTTTAATCGTGGCAAAAACGGGCCACTGGCGTGTAGTGCGCGCGCCAACCTCATTCTCTACTGCTCGTCGGTGCTTTTAAAGAAAAGACGCAGAAATCGCTTCTCTCTCATTCTCGGTGCGCACGCGATGAAAGCCACTCGTCTAACCGGGACGATGCATATTTGATGCCAGCTAAGCGCGACGACGCTCTTTCTGAAAGAAAAAGAAAAGAGAAGGAACGGACACGGATCCCCGGAGTCGAATCAATCTGGACGAAAAAAAGGATGGGGCACGAAAGGGATACATACAGGGAATTGGGTGATCTCCGAGTGTTTACATCGGCTGATGCACGTTGTTCGCACGGCAGAAGACGGTAAAGGAAGTCTCTCGCAAGTTTATCCGTGAAAGCTCTCTAGCGGAATGATTTATAGGTTCCGGGGGATATGGAATTTTATTCGAGAACGCGAGCGCACTTTCGAGCTTCTCCCTGTTTATTTTCGTGTGCGCAGCCGAAACGAATGGATTTCCCAATTCGAGTGACTTCTTTTTGAATACCCTACGCGGGCGTGTGCTACGAGGTTGAGTTGTCGATTCGCGACGCTAAACGGCGAATCTATAAGACTCGTTCTCGGATTGTGGCGGCTACATAAAAAAGCAATTTGTTTCTCGCTAATTCGCGTGAAAATCCGTCTGACGTTTGTAAAGCTTCAGAGTCGTGCGAAAACTGGTGGAGTTGACTAAAGTTCATGAAAATTTAGAGAAACGAGACGCTCTTTCTCTTTCGCGTTTAAGATCGTGCGCGTAATTAATTGCTTTTATACGCTGGAGCCCACTCGTTGCGAGTCGGTTGTCGCCCCGCGATGCGGCTTTCTATTCCTGGACTTAATTTGCATTTAATTAATGTCGAATACGGGGGATGTGTAAACAAGCTTTCTTATTATCATCGAGTCGAGCAAGCTTGTTTTTTTTCTTGTTGTTGATTTTGTATTTACTCTAAATGGAGCTGATATGTCACGAATACTCAGAATGTCATTTTAGCTAATCGTTGATGAATCGTTATATAATGAATATAGGCCTTCGGTCAAAGTATCGCTATACTCGATAAACGGACGAGCCATTCCCGTTTGACAAATCAAAACAAAATAAAAGGCTATCCACGTAAATTTGTGACAAACGGCCTCCAAACAAGATTCCATTGAAGAAAAGAAAAAGATTCCGAGTGTACAACCGAGTATAAGCCTAAAGTAATCCAGCGTAGCTGAAAGCGGGAAACAAATATCCTGGAGTAGCGAGAGACCCCCCAAGAGCCACACGCGACGCTTTATTTTAGCGACCACGCACGCTCATACACACGCACACACACCCACACTCGTACATATGAGGACCTCTTTAACTATGCGCATAACTGATGTATGCAGGAATCGGAGCGTGGAACGAATGATATCTCATAGGCGCATTTGTACACCCGCTCATACTCTTTTTATTATATCTAAGATGCAGAAAGTTCTATAATTGCAACCGTAGCCAATTCTAAGTCTAATTTAACGATGCGTAGCAGCATTTACGCATACGACATATTGTACGGAGTAGTTATCTTGCCGCCACTGCCGTGCGGTGAAATATTGCGACTGCGGGTAGTTTTCGCGAACTGTGCGATATATATGTGCGTACACACACCACCCGCGCCGTTTATTATTTATTTTTTGGCGCGCACGCGGAATCTGCTGATATATACCGTACTGACGATTCAAAGTCACGCGCATAGTTTTCGTTTCGTTTTCGCTTTGTCTTCCTCTTCTTTTTTTCCCTCTTTTGCGACTAGCGCGGGCGCTTATAAATCGCTGTTTGTTTCGAATAAATGCGCTTTGTATTGCAGCGTATCAGCGTAAAATATCGAACGTTCTGGTTGACCGAGCGATTACTCGTCGTCACGTTTGCCCGGAAAGTAACTTAATTGCGAGATTTCAGTAGCGGGATGTTCGTTATTTTTTATATCGACACGTCAATTGTTATTTCGAAAAGAACTGTACCCTCTGTTTACATTGGTGTCGAGTATAGCTTTAACAGCACAAATAAATCGCATAGCCATCTCGCAAGCTCTGATTTATTACGCAATCCTTCTGCCTGTCTCTCTGTCTCTGTCTCTGTCTGTCTGTCTGTCTCTTTCTCTCTCTCTCTCTCGGCAGTTCTACGAAAGGATATCGACGTTACGTCGCCCGCGCGCGCTTTTATAAATATAAATACGGTTCTCCGTATAACGTTTTGACCATGTTATTTTAGCTTGCGCACTCGTGTACACAGGCGTGAGCGACTTTACGAGATGTTACGACTAGAACGGACGATTTATTGAGTCGATTAGATCCTACCGCCATGGAAGTCCTCCACTCTCTCTCTATGCTCGCTTTAATCCTCAAGTCGTGACGACGACGAACTTTTCTTTCCTTTTGCTTTATTTTGAGCTGTGGAGGATTGATGGGATAAGTGACGCGTCATGCCAGTCGCAGAGACGTGATTCTACGTTGCTGATACCTACAACTGCACTCTCGGTGAAGATGCGGTATTTTGGGATTTATGGGCACATTTCTTCCTCATTTTGTTTTTAGTGGTGACTTGTTACTGAATTGTTTTTCAATGCCTTGGTTAAATTTGAAAATTTTGGGATTTGAATTCTTCGATAATTCGGATTTTTCTTTCCGTTCCTTAACACTCTTCTATTAAACCACATAAATAAACTTCTGCAATGCGAACTCTCCACACCACCCTTTGATATTTCAATTGAGAACGTTCAACTGTGTATCAAAAATTCAATATTATACAAGCTTTTTCAGATAATTCATCGCATCATACAATATTTTTCAACTAATTTCAATTTTTCCGAGGAAAAATTATCCGCAGTGATCTAAATTTTAGTTCACTTTTAAAGGTATTCATGGTCGCTGCGAAAAAACGTAAAAAAAATTTTCGGAAACAGAAACTCCTGTCATACAAAAGGATTAAACTTCTATCAAGTCCAATGTATATATACAGTGAGAAACCACGGATAAGCTCGAAAGCAAAGTTTTTCAGGGCATCTAAAGCACGCGCGCGCTCAAACTTTTATTCCAGCGTTAAAATACAAAAACCGAACGCCTATATATAATACGCTTGCGAACATTCTGCCGCTGAACGTCACAATAAAACGAAAAAGCTTGATCATCTCTGTTTGCTGCCGTTGACGTATAGCTATAGCAAAATTAAAAGGTCGACGATTACGCGCCGATGTTTTACATCGTCCAGTCGCCATTTCGGATTTAACGACCGCGCGAGATACACAAAAAAGAGCCGCTAAATTGATGTCGCGTTTGGAAATTTTTATTTGTTGTATTGACGCTGCGGAAAATATATGTCGTGGAACGCTACGCGGAAGATTTGAGTTATGTTGTAGGTTTCAACAACGTACCTTTTATGTTCAAGTCTTACGAAAAGGGTATTAACGATTAGCCGAAAAGATGTTGTAAAAAATGATGTTCTTTTTCCAGGTTACGATCAAAAAATCGATCCAACAAACGAGCAGAGCTCCGGTAGCAGTCTGGACTGCCTGAACCTCATAGTACAGAGTATCAGCGATTCTCCTACGTCTACAGTGTCAACGAATGAGAATCAGCATGCCGCCGTCCAGCATTAGAGATGTCACGCTATTTTTATATACAAGCCAAATAATGTTCGATAAGTCGTTAATTAGCGGACAAAAATACCAAAGTTTTATCTTGACGCACTGATTAGAATAATGTTTAATGGCGAGTTTTTTTAAATAAACCACTAGGGTTAGTAGATTAATTTCACTTTGATGTGAAATAGCACTGATATACAATTATTTTTGTGAGATTGCCGAATTGAAAAAAAGGCCTATTTTTCATGCCTTGCATATGTTTCACAAACATCCTTAGACTTTGATCTTTGAAATAAAACATATTTGAAAGCTATTAATGAGTCGGTTTTATAACTTTTTTTTATTTACCTGGTAGCAAGAAAGACTTATGCTATGAATAATGTAATGCAAATGACTTTCTAGAATTTACAGTTAATTTAAAAGTAGATTAATAATCTTACATAAAAATTCAATTGACTTTAGCGTCCATGTTCTATAAAGTTTAACTTCGTGCAGCCTCGTGAATTTTCATGGATTCGATCGTTCAAATTCAAATTTCGATGGTTTAATGTGAAGATTACCTATTTCAACGTCATGTATATTCAGTTATGCCTTTGAAATACTACCTTTCTTGGGTGCAGAAGGAATCATTCCGTAAGTCCTACAACATAAAATTTCTTTTCGAAACATTCTTTGTAAAAGGTATTATAATAAGCACATGGATATTGGGAAGTATTCGACGTACATTCAAACAGTTACCGCATTAGTTTAAATTATACATATCTTAATTTTATAGTTAAAAGTAAGAAGAGAAAATTTTTTACAAACCAACTTTGAAGTAAATGTTTAAATTTGATTCGAAATTCACATCCAACTTGAAATTCATGAAAGTAATGATAAATTTTGTTTTGTAATGAGGTATTGTTAGTACGAGTGTATGAATGCTATTCGAATTATCTGAAACTAAAATGTTAAGAGGAAATTATAGAAATGTTATATATAAATTATATTCAAATTAATTAATAAGCGTTCAAGAAAACTTTTGAAAATTTCTCGTGAACTTCAATTTTTAGTATTTTTTCATTCGAATCTATAATTTATTTATTAAAATTATTGATTGAATAAATACTCATGTATAAACGTTCTAAAAACTATCCTCTCATTCATGATAAATCATTGTTAAAAGATACAATTAGATGTTTCAAGTGATTGTGAAGACTAAGACACTGTGCAGCACATGAAGTGCATAGTAATGTATATGTATATATAATCTCCTCTTTTCTTCGTATGTCAGTCATCACTTTAGCGAGGGATGACGCGTGAAGACTCGGCTCTCCACGGCTCGTCGCCTTGACTATCATCGCGCGTGTTTCGCACGGCGAATTACCTCTACGGCTGTTTGTGCAGGAGTCTAAGTCGACGTCGTGCAGTAGTCTCGATGTATTTATAATGCAAGCGTAAGCTTGTAATGTGATTTTCCTGGCGAAAAGCCTGTGCCACCATTGCCTAGGAAATTCACGCTTGGGTGGATTTTCTTTTGCTCGCGCGATGTAAAACGACGACGATGTTATTGAAAATTCAAGAGCTCTGGTACAGCGACGAAGACGCTTATTATTTGCCACTGTTATACACGCGGAAACGCTGTACATTAATATTGCTCTGCTTACCTTCGAATTCAAGTGACAATTTGCTTGTGTGATATTTTCGTGGATTAACTATGAAATAGCACAATGTCGAAGATGGATTTGCGGAAGTGCGAATGTTTATAAATATCGTCGGTAATATCTTATGCAGCCAATATCGATTAAAGCGGTTATTTAAATAAAAGGACAAGGTCGCCATTTATATTTTTCTTATAGTCAGTACTCCCTCCAAAGATAGACACGGATACACACATACACATACAAGTATACCGCACAACGCGCGCGTGTCCTGGTTAAAGGAACGGATATATATCCTTGACATACTTCTATTTTTTCGGAGCAGGAAAGAGAGATACGACTGTTACTAGAGCTCGCAGCTTTTGTCTAGTGCTATCGACAAAGTGAAATTACTTTCCTTCTTCTTTGAGGGAATTCATGTATACTCTGAACAATCTTTATATTTGCTTTCTGATTGTTACATGATACACGCCAATATTTGTTTCATCAACAAGTTTGAAAATACGAAAAAATGTGGAAAGCTTTTGATTGATTGGTTGTTTGTCGCTCAAAAATCCTTGGATTGATGTAAGGCGCACCAAACGAGAGCAACATTTCAAAGAATTGAGCCGCACTAAAAGAGAAGATTCTCCAGTGCCAGGGTAAAATTGAACTTTTAATCAAGCTGCAGGCAACGAAAAAAGAAAAATGAAAACAAACAGCAATGCGAAGAGCCAAAAAGCGTATATAAGGAAAACGGTCCAATCAAACGTGCAACTAAACTGAATTCTAGCAAGAAAGAGAGGGAGGGAGGGGGGGGGGGGGAGTGAGAGAGAGAGCAATCTCGAGGGCGTGAGATAGGCGGAACCGAAAAACAAGAGAATGAGATGCGACCACTTAGAGAAAACAACGACGGGGCATCGTCGTTCCGCATTAGGAAAGCTACTTACACGCTGCAAGTTTCGGAAGTTTCCTTTTGTAAATGGATACGCTCTCTGTATATACGTGCTCCATTCGAACAGTATAAATATGTCAACGACTAGCACATGCTTTATACTAGCTAATGTATATGGACGTACTCCTCGAGCCTCTAAGTCGAGACAACCGATTGAATGAAACGCGCGTAGACTAACGAATTAAACTATACATATTTTCCCCTTTTTGAAATCGCGTTCAAATTCACGTGTACACGAACCTCTTGTTTGATTGTCATAACATTCCATTAAAAGCGTACCAACTTGCTCTCGCGAATGCCAAGTTAATGTATCGTAAATTATAGAGGGACGTGCAATACTACTGAGAATTACTGCACAATACTCGTATATGCGAATGGCTGCAAGAATAGAGAGAGAGAGAGAGAGAGAGAGAGAGAGAGAGAGAGAGAGAGAGGAAGAGGGTCGTGTTTGACGGGCTGCTGACCTAATAATTATTTTACACTGCCAGTAGGAAATATCTATGACTTTTCAGCTATGATTAATGTTTTTATTATGGATTGTATCTGCTGAATCGTCAAGAGAAATAACAGTAAGCATTCTTTTTTTGTAAGAAAAAGAGGATGAACGTTTCATACACGTGTAACATTTGAATATCGAAAAAAGTTTTTAGTATGCGTTTTAACATGCTTATGAATTCTGACAGAAGTGGTATCAATCTCTCTCATTCACTCAATACTCTCACAGACTCTATTGTAATATCTGCTCCGCGATATATTGGCATCCATCATATATATACTTTTCAATACAGAAAACAAAGTAACGAAGAGAGTTCACTTTCATTTCTTTCATTTTTAATATCAGTTCCGCTATTTTTATTGCGGCAATCGCAAGCAAAGTTTATGGAGTTTACGAAAACTGCACGATACCCCGATTTAGTTTAGATATCTCTTACACATATTGTTAATTTAAAGTATGCACATGATAGAAATCGTGTAGTGAACTGTTCACGAAATTCCCTAATGACTATTTTATTCGAGAACTCAACCCCGCTAAGCCCCCGCTAAGCCCCGCTAAGCAAGCGCCTAGGAATAAAACCTATACGAAATAGTTCAACTTTCGATACGATGACAGAATATGCGGTAGTTCTCAAGACTCGACCCAATTTCACGCGAGAACGGCGTATATGCAAGCTGCTCAGTGTGTACGCCTCAAATATATATTGTACTTACAACTCGGCCTCTCTAGCTCTTCTCGCGCGCTCGATGCAATTTCGGCACGTTTCCAAAACATCTTCTCGCCTCTTCGTGAGGGAGGATATATATGCGAGGGAGGAGCTTTAGCGTCGACCGAGTGCCGTCGCCGCCGACATCGCTCGAGAATGAGATTACGAAGGGAAATTGGTGCCGCGAGCAGCGTTGAAAAGACTAGTCGATTTTTATTAGGCACGGGGGATCGGCATTTTCTTTTTTTTTTTTTTTGAGAGGGAGAAAGAGTATAATGCACTTTACTTAGGTTAATGGTATTGTACTGAACATGTCTGGAGCTAATTATGCCTGGCTTACTTTAAAAACTAAATCACTCAACTTATCAGCTTTGTGAACTTGATTTCATTCAGTAAAATACAAATATCAACGGCGTTATTATTGCAAAATTTTATACTGGAATTACTTTTTGTATTTGACTGTTTCGTCGGATGAACGTGTTTAAATGTGTTCTTATAACCTCTAAGTATCGTAAGAAATTCATTACTCGAAAAATATTATTACATATGTCGATGAAATATAGCCCTTCTTTTAGAAGATTATTCAACATTAAATCAATAATGTTACTGAATTATCACTTATCAATTTACATTAAAAATGATAAAACGAGTGATAAGAACGCGTATGCACAAGCCACCTTACAAAGTAGAGAAGCTTACGACAATAAGCATGCGCTAATTTTTATGGACTAACTATATATATTGAAAATTCATAATTGTAGATAAATAACGCTAGTCAAAGATGTCGATCTTTAAATTCATTGAAATTCAATGAAAGTTTACTGCCGTTCATATTAGGATAGTTATCTAATTGTTACCAAGCTTCTTGATCAACCAAATCGTACTAATAACAGCTGCAACAAATATAACGTCACTCGCACCTGCCATCATTATTTGTTTGTTATCTTTTTCAATCTTCCATTCGTTTGTTCTTTATTCAATTAAAAATTGGAGGAGTATTTAAAGAATGTTTTTGCGTCGAAATAGTAGCAACTTTTAGAAGGTCATGTTGCGAAGAACGTTGATATTTTTCCTGAGTTATCGTGCGGGTATTGTGCAATAATTCGCAAGACACGTGGAGAGTAACGTAAAACAATCTGCTTGGTGAAGTCATTATAAAATCAATATTCAATTATGACAATCAGTAATTATGGATATGGTTACATACTGAAAATGGCATAAAAAAGCACAAATACATAGCTATTCCACAAATGTAATGACTCCTATGATCGTGCGTAAGAGTTACATCTTCTTGCTTCACAACTACAAAAATGTGACAATAAAGGATAACTGATTATAAATAATTGATTACTATCTACTTTTTGTAGCCTTAGAATCCAAGAGTGAAAAGGTGAAGAAGATTACTTAAATTAAACACATAGACTTCAAAAATCTAAAAAACATTATTGATTAAAGAAATTGGAATATTATTTTTACTATTACTGATCCTGAAATGGCCTGTGATATTTTGATTGAAA